TTATATAATAATTATATATCATTATATAATAATATATATCTTTATACAATAATATATATCTTTATACAAATTGTTTATTGTGTTGTAGCACCTAACGTTGCTTCAGTCCAAGCGGCAATTGAACATATTTATCCACTAGTCTACGAGTTTCGCAAGGAGCGAACGCCGGAGGACGAGCTTGCGTTCACATTGAAGAAACGCAAGTTAGGCTTGAACAAAAGAAAACGGGATGAGTTCCTAGAAGATGAGCCAGATTTGTCGTGTGAAAGTATGATCTCTGATGCAGAAGATGCACTTAACGAAGTAGAAACTGACGGCAGTTGGGACTGATCTGTTTTATTTTATCGCTCTACTGTTAAATGTGAAACTGTTGTCTATATCTCGTTTTTTCGATATGATACATACATACTGCTATATGTACAAAGTGTTATTGCTAAAAGTGAAGTGAAGCGTAATTTCGTTTCCATATAGTGCATGAACAAATGTGTGAGTGTTAGGAATAAAAATAGGGATACATATATGCACTTATGTATGCAATATACACAGGAGCATAATTATCAAGTACACATGAAATGAACTGATTATCTAGATAATTACTTTTATTAGCAATATCATATTATAAATACAAATATAGATATATATGTAATATGGAAAACACTAACAAGTGTAATACAAATGTAAATATGAATACATATATGTATATATTTGTATTTATGTACTTCTAAATATATAACTCTTCGCATGTAGATGTATATCTTCTACATCTACACGTATGTATATGCACGTACATGAATATGTATGTGTATTTATGTATGTACAAATATGCGTAGAAAACGTTTTTAATTGTAGAATTGATTAATTTTTTGGAGTTTATTTATCAATAGATAAAACTTATATATGCTTCTTTGGACAAATGACTAGTACAGGTTTTAAAAAAATTGTCTGCATACATGCATATTGTGAATTATGGCCTGTACATTTACGTTTCTATTAATTTTATTGTCATGTTTAATGGTAACTAGTTTTGCTTAATTAAAGTATTGTGCCAAAGATAGATATTCAAAATTTAAAACAAAATGATATAACTTTATCCATTGTAATGATTAGCTTCCACAGTGCTTATAATTGATTGAAATGTAACCGAAAATATTTTAGTTTCTTAATCAATATTTTATAGAAATTATTTCATGGAGATAAAAATCATTTTATTTTATAATTTGGATTCCGTATTCTAAAAAATGCATATTAATTAATATTATTTCGTATTACCAACAGCTCGTTCTCGCTCAAATAACTTCTATTTATTCAAAAGAATTTGTGTATCCCATAGTTTATTTATTATTACTATATTCCTACATTTAATATCTCTTAGTATGTCTTTTTCTAAGTATATAAATATTATTTTGTATGTTTATATTCGCAAAATTTTCTGTACGAGATATTATGGTAGGAATAATTTAAATATTATAAGCACATATATAACTATGTTTATATTTGGTAAAACATTTTTAATTATATAGTGAATCTGTATACAAAGTTACAATGACATAGTAGCATAAAAAGTACGACGAATAAGAAATTTATACAAGATTAATTTGCATTGTTTGGGCGCATACGGGCTGTTTTTATGGCAAACATTATGTAAATGTTAAATTTGACTTTAAAGTGTCTATTACATAAAAGAATGTAGTCTAGTTTGCAGTATTCATGAATTCAGATTCACGTATTACAATAGTGTTTATTTTATTTACGTAAATATATAATAAGAAACTGAAGCTGAAATCGTGACATTAATTTAGAACTGTGACAAACTATTCTTTGTAGAAATTCATTGCGTTGGTGTTTTGTGAAAAGTACATTTTAAAATCACAAGTTTAAAGTATGAAACGAATGTATTGTGTTCAATGAGATATTTATTTTCGATTTACATATACATGTAACTGACTGAAATTGCATATTCTAGAATCTGCAACAAAGACATAAATAATGCGATAGAACACGTTAGTTATTGTTTCTTTTTGTATTAGTCATCTACATATACATTGATACATACACATTAAAAGTATTTATTTATCACTTATAGTATCCTTATATTAATATTAAGCGCATTTGAATCATGTCATTTTCATAAATATTAATTTTCTGAAAATCTAAAGTATATTCATCTGAACAGCCTATAATAATGTTTATTTTGTCCATTCATAAAATATTTTCACGAAAAGAAATATTTTTACACACAATTTTACAAATCTAATTAATTGTATTTTTAGAACTCAGTTTTTATTGTAAAGATGTATATCGGATATTGTGCAAAACATTACACTGAAGGTATAATATAAAATACGTTGTCTTTCTTATATTTCGCGATTATTTACAGATATAAAATTTAACCTTTTGTTTGCAATAAGTTAAAGAAAAGCAATATATTGGTACGTGAAAAATTATTAAGATATAGAAAAATTATTAAAGATTTGTGTAATTCAATAATAGGAAAAATTAATAGAAAAATTAATATATGAATATTGTATAAGTATCTTATCACACATTAAGTACAAGATAATATGATAAGGTATGGCCGATATTTTATTAAATAATTAATCTGTTCGTGCCATATGACATACATTCGTTAAAATTAGTTTCATAATTTTCATAATGTATATATTCTTTTTACACTGAACAAATTTTTTAAGATAAGCCAAAGTCACTGCCCTTAGTGTATTCAATCAGAAAATATAAGACTAAATTCACTAATGAGTATGTGACACAAGCTAGCATATTTTGTTTATTGGAAATAAATGCTATTCTTTGCGTTAATTAATCATAGAAGTTAAAGTTTAAGCAAATAAAGAAGTTGAATGATTAGACATTCGAAATGTAACGATAAAAATAAATTATATCATATATTTAGTTTTCATGATTACTATAGGAACATTTCCTTTTGTTGCATTTAACTTCTTTATATTAATATCTAATAAAATATAGCATATCGGCATATGTGGCCTTATCTATATATGTATATATATATATATACATATCATATTTATGAATTTAAAAAAGAGAAGTGAAATGTTTCCTTGAATCTTAATTTTTAAAAATAATATTTTGTTTTATGATTTATTAACCACTATTTTGATACTTTAAATAATATGCTGTTGATACAATTTTTTTTACACAATTTTTTTGTACAATTGATTACATATTATCTTTTTATTTTACATTAAACTTTGATAAGTGTCTTAACTTAGACACACTATACTTGATCGTTAATACTGAATGGAACTAAACGAGAAACAGAAAATAAGATGAGTTCTATTGTCATTAATAATTCGGACTTCTCTTATCTCTCAATATCATATTTAATACATACAGATATAAAAACGATTGCAATTGGATAGTCGTACTCAATGAAAAAAATACATATTTGACTTATTAAGAACTTTTGTGAAATACTTAATGCAATATTACAGAAAATCAAGAAAGTAGTTTTCAACATTTTTAGTAAAAATATAGTGCATTTTTAAACAAAAAAGTAACTACAAAAGTTTAAATTACATATTACAACTATTAAATATAATAACATACTAATAATATTGATTAAAATACATTTGTAAATGTGTTTTTTAAATATAATCGTTCAACTGAATATTAGACGAATATAATATTATATTTACAAGAGAATTTTTAAAAATACTTCATGGTTCTATTTAAAATGTAAAAACTTTCTTTTAAATAGATATATACAACTGATTCAGATTTAATTAATAAATACACTTTCTTGTAATAATATAATAGATTTATATATAGATTTATAATTATGTTCGAGCAAGCGGTATTATTAGTTTGTAGTTGATAATAGATATGATCTATGAGTGTAACAAATCGTCTTTATTACAAGATTTTCATTTTCATAGATAGGATTTTTGTTATTTTCAGTATAATAATATAATAATTTCTTTTTCGATTTCCCTCTGACTATCATTTATTATTACTCAATTCATCTTTGAACACATTTATTTCATATAAAAACCTGTGGATTATGGATTGCTATACATCTTCATTAAATCATTAAATAGATAATTACATTAAGAACTAATTTTATTTATTGTTAGTTAAAAAACATTCTAATTTAACTTATAATAAATTTTATTGATAAAAAGGAAGAGGTATATAAATATACAAAATAAGCGAAGAGTCATATTCGATTAAAACGGATCTCAGCGCTTAATAATTTTGGTGTGATTTTTACAATTTCTAATTTATACACAATACATATAAATACATATTAAGAAATTATTAAAAACTATAGCATTTTTCTAAAATTTGAGATAGTTATTCATCAAATACTGAGAGGAATTCATCTACTGCCGGAAAATAACAAGAAGCCATAGTCTTAGCAGCCTAGAAAATTAATAAAAATGTCATTAAAAGAACAAGTACATGTGTGATAAAAAATTTAATCAAAATATTTGTTTTAAAAAAGTAAATAATATATAGAGAAGTAATGTGTTACTTGTAATACTTTGTTGAATGTTACCTTGTTATAATAACAATTTGATAATGACCTTGTGAATTTTTTATGATGATAATATCGAAGTTGGAAAAGTCAATCGTTATTTATAACCGAAAAAAATTCCTAATTGTAATGCATTACTTTTTTTACTCGTTACTTTTTTTTTTTTTTTCGGTAAGTAATGCGCATAATGGTGACAAGTTAGTTCTCAAAAGTGATTTTTTCAACCTTAGCACAACTTTAGGATTTAGAGTTAGCATTAGGCTCATTCTACAATTGCGTAAGCGTAGTTGTAAATGATTGTAGTTGTAAGAATTAATCACAGTCCAATATGAAGAAAATGTTTGACCGTGATTAGTCAATTTTTACAACTACAGCCACTTACAACTACATTTACGGGATTATAGAATGGGCTTTAGTCATAAAAAAATTGCAACGACATTATCAAATTGTTTAATACGAAAAGTAACGTTTCCTAATTCTGAAATATGTATAATTTCTAAAATCAATCAAATTTCTTTTATTCTTTTTAAATTATTTTTTTTTATAAATTGAAGTCATTTTAAAAGTCAATTTAAAACTTTCTTTAATATATTAATTTATATTTCTTTACAATAAATTACAAGTTACTAGGTGTTCAAACTTAAAGTTAAAAATTTGTAGTAGATATTTTAATATTTACCTCTTTTGTATTTATTTTTAAGCTTGTTTTACTTATATTTAGTGTGCATTTGAAGGGTAATATAGCATAATGATTGCTAATATTCAATAAAGTCTCCAAATCACAATCTCTTAAATCGCTGCGTAATTTTTTTGAAAAATTTTTTAGAAGGTTACCATTTTCACTAAAAGGCTGTAAACAATTCTTTTAATGTTACTTATTGTATATAATAATAAATTTATTTAACATTTTTATTTCTTGTTCATACATACCTCATCATACCATAATGATTTATGAATATCATTTGCATAAATAGATATAATACGAATTCTTTCTGCATATATATTTAATGGCATAATTTGGCGCATATGTGGACTCATTTTACAATATCTATAATAATTCAAATATCGATAATATAGAATAAAATTAATTTAAATAGTAATGAATTATTTAAAAAATTAATACCTTAATAGTAATTTACAAATTCTTGACAAGATAGCACAACTCTTCGTAATAAATGCTCCATAGATGACTGCTGGTGGTGGCAATGTCCAAGATAATACATAACTACGACTTTCTAATGTACAAATCTTTGAAAGAAACACAAATAAATACTTAAAAATTAAGTTAAATATTTTAATTACATTATTTATAATTTTTGTATATACCTCTTCATAAAATGCTAAACATTCTGATAACAATATAACATCGTAATTATGTATGTTCAATCCACAAACAATAAGATTTTCTAATATGGTTGTAATCGCAAGTACAATCTCTACTAAATCTTCTAATCGATCTTGTTGCAAAAAGGATGATGCATATTGATTCTGTTCTTCAAGCCCTTGTCTTACAAACTGTAATAAATTGTCAGAGTAATGTAACAATTATATGTACATATATATGTAAAGAAAATAAATTATGTAAATGCAATTTGTATTTTGTAAAAAAATGAGTCTTGTGTACTCCTGTCGCAATCAATATTTACATATATATAATTTGTATATATTTGATTAATATTATTATCTTAACGCACGATTTTAAATAAACATAGAAATTATATATGGAAGATTAACTAAAAAGATATGGATTTGTTACAAATTGAGAAAATAAATCCAATCCTTACCAAGTTCGTAATTAGTTTCTGTACAGATCTAATTATTTCACATTTCATATTTAAATTTGATTCGTAAAATATATTTTGTATATGTATTAGAATGTTTTCTCGTAACTCTGAAAATATATCTAAATATAATATTTTCATTTAATATTTTAACATTGTATAAGAGCTAGAACAGTTTTATAATTACCAGTCACCGATATAGAAGTCATCCATTGCAGCAAATCTAGTAACCTTAGCAAATGCTCTCCTGAATTATAATATAAATATTCATCAAAAAACAACTTGACCACAAGTATTCCTTCCTGCATGTATCGAGAAAACTCAACTGTCGTAGTTAAAAATATATCCATTTCTTCCATAGAAAACTTTCCATTTTCGAATATAAATGCTAAAACATTAATACAATGGCTTTGAAATATGTAAAGCTTAGCAAAAAGTTACAATAATAGCTTACATTAGTTTTCTATAATAACAAGAAAATCAATAAACACATACCTCTTGTAAGCGTATTGTAAAGATTGTACGAAAATCTACTTTGATACTGAAAGTCTGCGTATGTAAGAAGATGATGACCAACCATATTTACCAAAAGCGAAATAGCATTGCAAGGCAATTCAACATTCTGATGATACTTTCCTAACTCTTCTATGCTAA